TATAAACATAATAAAATTTGTATAAAAAATATATCTCAAATAATTAAAAAGTATTATGAAATTATATTTTTTTTAACTTTAGATTTTCACCATGATTATAGTATATTTGAACTTCAATTGCATTCAATAATTTGTGTATAATTGAATCTTATGAGATAAATTTAAAATTTCAAATCAATCAAAAAATTTATTTTACAAAAATTAAATCAATTTAATAAATAAAAGATTAAAATAAATATTTTAAAAGATGACAATAAATCAAAGAATAAAATAAAAGAGTAAAAGTATAATTTAACAAATTTATGAACCTGAGATGAGAGTAGTGTCAACAAATTTACGTGGTGGTTATTCGTAAATTCTTGAACTAATGAGAAAATTAATTCTCATCATTTTAGCCGTAAAATAAATTGTTAGAAAAAAAAAAAATTGTATATTTAAGACAACAGCTAAAATATATAAACAAGATGGATATTTTAATTTATCAATAACTAAATTAAATATTTTAAAATTATTTTCAGCAAATTTACTAAACAAAAAATTTATTATAATTGAATATAGCAATAAAAATTTATTTTAATAATCTAAGAGCATCTCCAATGCTAGGTTCTTATCTGGTTCTTAAGTTTAAGCTCTCATTACTTATAAGAAATCTGTATTGGAACATGCTGACATGACTTGTTAAATTGCTAAAATAATTTAATATTTCCTTCTTTCACTGATGTCAATAACTATAATAATTAAATTTTTCAAAATTTATTAAAAATAAAGTATGAGTGATTAAAAAGTGGAGGTGTTTATAAACAATTTTTATTGGAGTAAAAATTATAAAAATGTAATATAAGTTATTTATGAGTGACATTGTTGCAGTATGAGATTCATTTAAAATGGATAAGAATTGCTTATAAACAATTCTCATTGTAATGCTGTAATAATTTATTTACAATTCTTAAACACGTTCTTAACCACGTTAAATATTTTAGATGAAAAACAAGAAGTCCACGTAGGCATGTAACTAATGACACTTTAACTTCCGTCGAAAAGGCCATAAGGAAGGCAGCAAGTCTTTCGTTATAGTTTAGTTTAATGTCACCTAGTCAACAGCACACGATATGTTCCGGGAAACTTTCATGGAAGAAGATATTTTTTTTTTTTTTAGAATTACTACGGTACCCATAAAAAATTGAAAGGTTTTGATACATCAAATTATGTGAATAAATAAATTTTAAAAAATAAATTCAAAATAACATAAATTTTAGATTAAAAATTTGTATAAGATGAATCAATGAAAAAGATTAATTAAAAAAAATAATCAAAAAGTCAATTTTCATAATAAATTTTGTTTATATGTGACAAAATTAAAAAATTAAAAACAAAAAATTATAATAATATTATAAAAACATTAAAATAAAAAAAACAAATAATACAACTGAAAAACTAATTTATACTATAAATTCAAAAAAATTATCATCAAAGAAAAATTAAAACATATTAACAAAATATTAATATTAAACTTTTTAATTATAATAGATGCTACATTAAGATATAAAAAAAAAATATAAAAAGTAATATAAAGATATAAAAGAAAATTTATACAGATAAATTATTAAAAATATTAAATTAAAATAAAAATAAAACAAGTAAGTACAATAAAAAAAATAAAAATAAAATGACTGTTCCGGTACTCCCACAATTATAATGGGTACCATAGAATTTCTCTTTTTTTTTTCATCCTTGAAATATCCATCGCCAATAGCAGTAATTAGTTTTCTCGTTATGAGGGAGACACCTCAAAGAATGAGATAACTGACCTTAAAATTTAACGCGACTGCATACACAAGGTAGGAGATCTTACTTAAACGTGAATCAACCCCTACTGCTGAATCACACGCTTGAATTTATCATAGAAGAACATATACCATTTCTGCAAATTAAATTTAAAGATGAGCAATCAAAAAATTAACTATATCGCTAAAAGCCTAAAAGGACGTAAGCGAAGAAAAAGAAAAAAAAAGGGGAAATGAATGGTTGCAAATTTGGGGGAAAAAAACTTTATTATCCATCATAACAACTATGTGAATTTTTTTTTCTTCTCTTTACGTTAACTATATGATTTTTTTAAAGTACAAAATATCATGTCAATGACTATTTTTTTTTTTTAGGGTTTCAATGACTAATCTTAATACTTACAAAATGAGCATTATATATATATAAAGAAAATCTTGTTACTTATAAAAATAGTCCCTTCTACATTTGTGCACTAAGAAGGGTTACCACACATATACACATGTATCTACAAAGGAAAGGTTTGATCAGGTGTCTCTGCTGGTCACCTGATCAGACCATCAGGTCTGATATCACTTATTGTATATTAGGGTGGTGCATTAGGGGAGTTACCCTACATATACACATTTCTCTACATTAGTGAGATATTGTCCGCTTTGGATTTAGCCCTCTTGATTTTACTTTTAGACATCACCAAAAAGGCCTCTCAACCAATAGAGACAAATGTATGTATATAAACTCATGTGCATCCTCTTGTTTAAACGATATAGGATTTTGCTTGTATCCCAATACTACATAAGGTCTCATTTTTTTTATATTTAATGTCAAGAGTTGAATATAAATATTTGATTTATTTTGACTAAAAATATAAATTATTATTACTTTGTGCCAACTGATGTCACCCATGTATATGTTATCTATGGTGAACCACTTATCTTAAATTATCGCCACCCATGTTAAAGCTTCATACACTTTACGTTCATCCCTGGACTACCTAAAATAAAGCTTTTGAGAAAGTGCTCTTTTGTGTCTGTCACAAATCAATAATGTTTAAATTAGTCGTCCAAACATGACATTGAAAAAAGAAAGTGTTTAACTTGTAAAATAATTGTTCCAAAAACATTTGGCGAAACCGAAAACATGACTAAATATGACGCCGTTTTCAATTGTTTAGCTCAAAATCTTGTTAAAGATATAATATAATTTTTTTTGTATTATCTTTGTAAACTTTTAGACTATTGATTCATAACGTAGAATTAGAGTTTACTTGCGCAAGTAAGTTATAATTTGTTATTTGTTAATAAAATCTTGAATTTTGACGCAAGACATATTGTTAGAAAATAAAAATAAGAAAATTATAATGTACTATTATTTATCAATCAATTACAATCAAGAACGACATCAATAAATGATAACATTAAAATAAAATAAAATTTAAAAAAATTGAGTTAAAGCACACAATAAACTACTTTAAAAAAGAGAATGTAACCAATCTCAACAGTAACAAATTAATTATCTTGTATTCTGTTATGATTAGATAATATTCTGTTTCAATTACTGCATTCCAATATTTTCTTATTATGTTATAACTACTGGATTCTGGTATTCCCTTTGCTGTATATAAATTGGTACCCATCCATTAATAAAGCAGGCTGTTAATTGGTCATTTGCTATTCATACTTTTCTTCTCCTTCTATGGATCTGTTTACTTTTGTTATGGTATCAGAGCTCTTTGTATGAAGAGTTCTGCTGCGCACTCAATCTTCCTTCTCCATCTTTCAATTATTACTTTCATTCTTTCCTATCAACAATGAGTGGGGTGAGTGAACAAACACCTAGCATAGACAGTTTCTTATACCTCCATCCGAGCGAGAATCCAGCAATTGCTCTTGTCTCCCCAGTTTTAGATTCCAGTAACTATCATTCATGGAGCAGATCCATGATGACTGCCTTGAGTGCTAAGAATAAGGTAGAATTTGTGGATGGAAGTGCCCCTGAACCACCCAAGACAGATCAGATGCATGGTGCATGGCGTCGCTGCAATAATATGGTCGTCTCTTGGATTGTTCATTCAGTGTCCATTTCAATTCGGCAAAGTGTCTTATGGATGGATAATGCAGAAGAAATTTGGTGTGATTTGAAATCTCGATATTCGCAAGGAGATCTCCTTCGAATCTCAGATCTTCAGCAAGAAGCATCATCAATGAAGCAAGGTGATCTATCTGTCACTGAATTCTTTACAAATTTACGCATTATATGGGATGAAATAGAAAATTTCAGGCCCAATCCTGTCTGTTCCTGCACTGTGAAGTGTTCTTGTTCTGTTTTTGTCACCATTGCACAACGCAAACTCGAAGATCGAGCCATGCAGTTCCTATGTGGCTTAAACGAGCAATATAGCAATGTTCGATCACACGTCTTGCTTATGGACCCCATGCCTGCAATCTCGAAAATATTTTCTTATGTTGCACAGCAAGAACACAACTATTAGGTAACAGTTTCATGACAAATATTAATGTTGAATCTAAAGAAAGTTCGATTAATGCTATAAATTCCACCTCCTCAATTTGTAATTTTTGTGGACGATCCGGACACACGGAGAGTGTATAAAATCAAATACAATGCTGATGGTTCCGTTGAGCGGCATAAAGCGCGCCTAGTCGCGAAAGGTTATACACAAATGGAAGGATTGGACTTTCTCGATACATTTTCACCTGTGGCCAAACTCACCACTGTTCGATTATTGCTAGCTCTAGCAGCTCTCAATAATTGGCATCTAAAACAACTAGACGTAAACAATGCTTTTCTTCACGATGAGCTTCATGAGGAGGTGTATATGAAGCTCCCTCCGGGTCTCTCCACTGAGAATCCTAATCAAGTTTGTCGTCTTCAACGATCTTTGTATGGGCTCAAACAAGCCAGCAGACAATGGTTCACTCGCCTGTCCTCTTTTCTTCTTTCTCACGACTACAAACAGTCTTTCGCTGATCATTCTCTCTTCCTACGTTTCAGTGGTAACACAACTACAGCTCTTCTTGTCTATGTTGATGATATTGTTTTAACAGGGAACAATCTTGACGAGATACGCCACATCACGAATCTCCTTGATCAAACTTTCAAAATAAAAGACCTTGGCAATTTGAAGTTCTTTCTTGGCATTGAAGTTGCTCGGTCCCCGTAGCGGCATTCACCTCTGTCAACGAAAATACACATTAGATATGCTCTCTGACTCCGGTATGCTTGGTTCTTGTCCCACTTCAACTCCTATGGATTATTCTACTCGTCTACATGCCACCTCGGGTACCCCCTTATCTGCTTCATCTTCATCTTCCTATCGACGCTTAGTTGGACGTCTCATCTACCTAACAAATACGCGACCAGATATATCCCATGCTGTTCAACAATTAAGCCAGTACATGGCCAGTCCTACTACTGCTCACTCTCAAGCTGCATTTCGCGTTCTCCGTTACCTCAAGGGCTCCCCAGGTTCTGGTGTCTTTCTTTCTGCCACTGGCAATCTTCAACTCAAAGCATTCAGCGATTCTGACTGGGTCGGATGTAGTGATTCTCGACGCTCAATCACGGGTTTTTCCATCTACCTTGGGGACTCTCTTATTTCTTGGCGCTCGAAGAAACAATATACCGTCTCTCGCAGCTCTTCTGAAGCTGAGTATCGAGCTCTAGCTTCAACAACGTGTGAACTCCAGTGGCTCACTTATCTTCTTCAAGACATTCATGTGCCTTTTGTCCAGCCAGCTATTCTTTATTGTGATAACCAATCAGCGATACAGATAGCTTCTAATCAAGTTTTTCACGAAAGAACTAAGCATATTGAAATAGATTGTCATATTGTCCGTGAGAAAGTTAACAATGGCCTCCTAAAGATTCTGCCTATTTCCTCTTCCATGCAACTCGCAGATATTTTTACTAAAGCTTTATCTCCATCCATCTTTCAAGGCTTCTGTTCCAAGCTAGGAATGATGAATATACATTCCCAGCTTGAGGGGGCTCTCAACAGTAACAAATTAATTATCTTGTATTCTGTTATGATTAGATAATATTCTGTTTCAATTACTGCATTTCAATATTTTCTTATTCTGTTATAACTACTGCATTCTGGTATTCCCTTTGCTGTATATAAATTGGTACCCATCCATTAATAAAGCAGGCTGTTAATTGGTCATTTGCTATTCATACTTTTCTTCTCCTTCTATGGATCTGTTTACTTTTGTTAACCAAGGTTTTTCAAATTAAAAAATATCGTTCCAAAATATATTTTTAATAATAAGAGAAATATTTATCAAATAAGAGAGATAATTTTAAAGTGTAAATTATATTTTTCAGAGTAGTGTTTTAGTTTTGTATTTTCTTTTAAATAATATAGTATGTATTTATAATTATGATTTGATATGGAGTATCACCCATTATCCATAACTAATTTTTATCATATTGAAGGAAATTGATCATCTAACTTTATGGAGGGAAAGTTATGGTAACTTAATACATTTAAACCGTTAGATTTGTAATAATAGATCAGATTGTGACACGTGTACATTTAAGTCAAAATATATATTATACACGTGTCACAATCTGATTTATTTTATAAATCTAACGGTTTAAATGCATTAAGTTACTGTAACTTTCATTTCTCAAAGTTAGAGAATCTAAATCCTATTTTTGAATACCAATGGATTATTTTTTGTTGTGCATCACGAGTTATCACACACATATACATGTTTCCACATTGGTGGAATATTGTCCGCTTCGGGCCCAGTCACCACGATTTTGCTTTTGGACATCACCCAAAAGGCCCTTCAACCAATAGAGACAATTGTGTGTATATAAACTCATGTTCATCCTCTTGTTTGAACAATGTGGGAACTTGCTTGCATTCCAACAATCTTCCCCTCAAACAAAGGATCAAGGTTTACCCCCTGCAGTGGAAACTATTGATCCACAAGTATTTATCCGATGGTGGTCTATAGAACTCACTTACGCTCTAAGTATTTGTACTGTCGCTCCATGATGACCTTGTGACAGCAGGACACGCCTCCTAACCCTCCATGTTACCAGGAAGACTCTCTTCCACATGGACCCATAGTTAGGAAAACTTTCGACACAAGGGATCCCAAACTTGGATCCACTTGCCAAACATCATACTTGTCGAGTCGGTCACCTGATCAGACCATCGGCTTTGATATCACTTGTTGAGAACAAAAAAACTTCTTTTCTTTTATGCACAATAATGATTATGAGAAACATATTAAAATAATACCATAAAAGAAATAGGAAAAGATCAAACAAATTTATTTAACGTGATTCAGCCCCTCATGCCTACGTCCACGAAGATTTTCATTATTTACTTCAAAATGTGTTACATATATTTTAAAAATCCTCCCTTCAAGTTTCGTGAGTTAAACTTGAAAACTCCTTCCTCACAAGTTTTATGGGTGAAACTTGGAAACCATCATTCACAAGTTTTCTGGCAAAACTTGGAAATCCTCATTCATATGATCTCCTCTCTCGTTTAAGGCGGTGACCCTCTCTACAGGTCGGGTGGTTCTTCTCATCTCAAGAGTCTCTATTTATTGACCTTACATCACTATTTTAAAAAAGGAAACAAATACCTAAAATAAATACAATATATTTCAATTCTAAACAATATCCTAAAAGAATCAATATCTTTTAAAATCTAAATGATATCTTAGAGATTTGAATTTAAAAATTTGAATTATTTTCCCAACATTTTTAAGTTGTAAAAACTTTCAAATGAATACCAATGGATTTTAGTAAACTCTTTAAAAAATCTTGAAAATCCAGATTGAATACCACTAGATTATTTTTAAGTGACATAAAATCCTAATCGAATACCAACGAACTTTTTTTACTCAAAAAAAGTCTTTTAAAACCCTATGAAATTCTAAACTAATACACCCCATTAATAAATAATAGAGACTAAATTTATCAATTGTCATTGTGTACTTCACAAGTTTAAATAATATATTACTTATTAATACTATTTGATAGTAACATTTTTTTGTTATGAGATAATTTTGTATTGGTCCCTCATATTTAAATTTGATTTTTTAGTTATTGTTATTTATAGAAGAAAAAAAATAAACCCCTTTCTTCAAATATTATTAATATATTTATCAAAATAAACTTAATATTGAATCGATTGTACAAAATAAAATTTGAAAAGTATATGCACTAGTGCAAAAATAATCTATGATGTTAGGCTACTAAATCAGAAGTCTCACAATTGATTTAATAGTTGGTGGGATGATATATTTACAATTTGGAAACATTACAAAATCAATTATTATCACAAATTTAAAATCGATTATATCTATAACTAATTTTAAATATGGTATACAAAATTGTTTGAAATACAATCAATTTTTTTCTACCAAAAAGTAATTAAGTTACTTCACTCTTTTTCTATATTTAATTATACAATTTAATCAGGGCAAATCCTTAATACATTTAAACCGTTAGATTTGTAATAATAGATCAGATTGTGACACGTGTACATTTAAGTCAAAATATATATTATACACGTGTCACAATCTGATTTATTTTATAAATCTAACGGTTTAAATGCATATACCTGTGGCATCAATATTATAAAAGATCTTTTGATATACATATAAAATATAAGACTCGGTCATATCTGTCAAAGGAATAATTAAATAAAGATTAAATTAAAATTTTAAAAAATTAAAACCTCTAAAAAATTATTTTTCCAACAGAAACCAATTAAATACAGCATTTAATTTAAATTTTACATTATAAAATAATTTTCCAACATATATGAATTCGTGTTTTATTCGTGGTTCAAATCAATGCGAATGGCTGCGAGAAGAAATGAATTAGAAATATAATACAGAATCTCATTCATATGTGCCTTTACTTAACAATTTCTAACTTTTAGTCGACTCACAACAAATCTCAATTTATTATTATTATTTTTTTAAAACATTACTTTTCCTTTGATAAATATGAGATTTAAATGCACGAAAATGTTAAGGTTTTCAAATTTTTTTTTATATTTGTTATGCTTTGTTTGTTTAAACAGGAAAAGGGTAAAATAGAAAGAATTCACAGAGACACGAAAAATTTTCACTTAATAAAAAAGAGATGGAAGAGTGAGAGAAAAAAAAAGAAGAGAAAAAACAGTTGTGTAGCTTGTAAGAAACATTTGTTTATAAATTATACTTTCAGGATTTGTCTGGTTTAGGGAGAAAACCATGAGAAAATAAAGTAGAGAGGACAAAAATGTAAAATATAGAAAGTAAAATATGTTTTAAGGTTGTTTAGTGAGAGAGAACATATATAAAAGAAAATAAAGCTAATTTTTCTCTTATTTAGTTTTGTAGAAAGTAGAATATATAACAAAAAAATGGAAATTATTTTGCGAAATAACATAAACATCCTCACATAAAAACGAGTTATGATAATGTTGACTTATTAATAAAAATATATTTTGGAGAATATATATTATATAAAAAGATTTTATGTTGTTATTATTCTATGATTTTGATTAATAAGTGAGTTTTCAATTTTCATGGTGTATTTGACAAATAATTTGATTTCAATTAACAATGTTTAAGTTGATTGAATCAGAAGTGAAAAATAATAATTGTTAATTGTCTTTTTTAACAAACAATTGATTGTCACATGTGTACGATGGTTGCTCGGTTGCTGTGGAGTGGGGGAAGGAGGATACATTTTCATTTTATTTTTCACAAAATCAACTATTTTCTTTAATTTTTAATTTCAAGTTTCAACTTTTAATTCCTACTTTTTTTTCCTCTCCATTATTTCTTTGGTATTTGATTTACAGTGACAGGATTTATGGAGCTTGTCTCATAAGAAATTGGTGTATATCCCATGAAAGACATCGAGAATGGTGATCCTAGCTAGCTGCTAATTACTTACATTTTAGAACAATGCTGCTATATCCATGTGCTAGTTGGAGGAGATAACTGAGAAATTCCGCAATTACAGGGGCACGTGAGCAGTGTTGTAATCATTGCTGCTTATAAACGCATAAATGCTATCAATCCTTAGTGGAAAGTTAAAGTACCAATTATTTGAAGTATTAAATTTTATTTTAGAGATTGACTTTTTTTTATGAATATTTTGTCTCATATACTGATCAGGAATCAAATTTCTAACTCGAAGAACAAAGTTAACCTATAAATCATCTCATATTTTGTTGATAACGAAAGACTTAATTCAACTTTTAAGTTTAATGAATCGAAGATGAATAATTCGCCAAAAGTTCAACTAATTTACTCATGAAAGGGAGAGGCCTATTCATCATGCATATTCCAAGTTTAAACTATTTTGGTTGATGAATTTTGAGACACCTGGAAAGATTATATACTAAACTATAAGCATGCTTGAACATAGTAATAGTAATGAAAGGAAAAATATATATTTTATTCTAACGTGGTTATAATTTTAGCCTTTTTTTTTATTAATCGAGATATTTTTTAATATGATAAAAATGGTTTTTTTATTCTTCAAATTCTATTCTTTCAAAGTTTAAATAAATGTATTCAACATTAAACAAAAATATTTTATAAAAAAATAAAATTTATAATTAATCCCTATATATTAAACACAAATGATTATCTTACACAAAAGCGATTTTAGTGAATTATTCTTCAATCAGATAATTTTTTTTAAAAAAATCTAACTTCTTATCTAAATCAATTTCATATTTATTCATGAATTAAATTTTAATATATTAAAATAAATTATTAATAAATAAAAATAATTTTATACTATAATATAATTATTTATTTTAAATTTAAAATATAACTTATATATTACATGTGAAATACACATACTAAAATATTAACTTAAAAATAATCTAATCCAAATATGACCTCCGCAAAAAAAAAAAGCCATGTTTATACAGAGGCCCATTACTGCCATCCGTGATAAGCCTTAAAATAAAAGGCCCCGAATAAACACTAGGCTCATCATATATACACTTCCTTTTTTTCTTATAAGTACACCTCCTTTATTTTTTTTGAAATTTATA